CCCCTAAAACAAAAACCCCCCCAAAAAAAAAAAAAAAAAAAAAAAAAACTCATAGAAAAAAAAGGTCAGTTTTACTGTATATTAATTTTTTTTGGAAAAATTCAACTGAAAATACTAAAAGTTAGCTTTTTAAAACTTTGAGTGGAAGTCAAAAGTTTGAAATTTTATCATTTCAGTAAATGTTTCTTAGCCACCATTTATAATACTTTACCACAGAAATCAGGGACCAGCAGTTAGCGTAATGGCTATGTCACTGAACTCCCATATAGTCAACCGCAGTTCAAGTCCTGGATCTGGTGGCTTAAACTCACACCGGGCGGGTGTGCGTGCGTGCCCAAGATCCCGAAAGGAGAATGGAGGAGAGAAGGGATTGCGGCATGGCCATCCCCCCTGGGGGGGTGATTTCTCGCTTTCTGTCTCTCTGTCTCTCTCTGTCTTTCTGACAAGCGCATGCACCTTATAGCAAATTCCTCTCCAAAAAACAAAAACTTTACCTCAGAAATTTTAGAATTAGCTGCAACTTTCTTTTCTTTTCTTTTCTTTTTCTTTTCTTTTTCTGAGAGATTTAACTATAGGGCATGTGCACTTGTCAGCGAGACAGAGAGACAGAAGGTGAGAAATCATCTCCCAGGAAGGATGGCCATGCAGCAGTCCCTTCTCCTCCATTCTCCTCCCGGGATTTTGGGCACGCACACACATGTGCCTTTTGTGTTTCAAGTCTCCAGGTCCAAGACTCAAACTGCAGTCAACCAGGTGAGAGTCCAGCACCTTAACCACTATGCCACCTGCTGGCACCAAGCTGAAATTTTCTAACTTCACACAGCCTTAAGAGATATTTCTATATTCTAGTCACAACAGCTTTTCATTTAAAGTCCATGGTTTCCTTTCTTCTTCCTATAATTTATAAGATGCTAAATGAGATTTTTCTACCAGGTGAAGCTCAATCCTTAACCCAAATCAGTGGTGAGTCCAAAAGACCAACTCATCTTGACAAGGCCGTGGCCTTCAAGAAACTTAATAGTCTTGTAAAAATAAACAAGTCAATTGATTCTCCCATTATGTTTGCACCATATAATCCTCCCCCAGATATTTCACAAAAAGAATATGGACTAGTAATTCCTAAAGAAAAAGAAATAAGCAGAAAAATAGCTGTGAGGAGATATTCCATTAGTAATGAAAGAACAACAAGTTAAAATAAGATGACATTTTTAGCCTATCAACTTTGTAAAGAGTAAATAGAACGTGATATATAGGTTGAGGAAAGTGCTGGGGAATGGGGTATGGAGATAATCTTGTTCACTCTTCCAAAGGCCGATTTAGTTGTATGTAGCAAAAACCTTAAAAATGTATGTTCCATTTTGCCTGCTAATTCAACTTCTAGAAATTTATCCTACAAAATAATCAAGTGAGGATATTTGGCTTAGCTTAGCATTGTTTTCTTTTTTTTTTTTTTAATAGTGAAATATTGAGTATCAGGGCTCTAAAATCTTTTCTAGTAAGTTGATAGAAATACTCTATCATTCTCTAATTATGCTAGATGCTACACAGAGCATAATATTATTACATGATTCAGATGACAGTATACTATGATTCAGAAATATGTATGGATCAATGAGCATAAAGCACACATTGAGAGCCAAATATTGAACTGGTTTTAAAAGAAAAAAATTATTTAAATAAGAAAGCATAATATAATCTACATACTTAAAAGGCAGAAGATTAATTAGATAAACTGCATAATATCCAGACAATACTAACACTGAAAATAATAATGTGTATCTATATTATTTGACATGGAAATACTTGCATTTCAAGTGTTATTTCAAGTGAAAAATGTAAACTACAAAATAGTGCCATCTAATTTTTAAACAGAAATTGCAAAAAGAAAATGTATATATGGGAGGAATCTGAAAATGTGCTCTATGATGTTATTGTGGTTATTGCTGGGTAGTGAGATGAGAACTGATTTTCATTTTCTTCTTCGTACTCTTCCGTATTTCCTAGTTTGTTTATTTTTATGAGGGATTATTACTTTCATGACTGAAAAAAAATCCAGTGAAATTATTTCTCAAAACGATTAGATTAATTAGACACTATTTTCTTTATAGTAACAGCATTGCCTTTCTCCCACTAAAGATCATGCTTCTTGGATATCTGGAGTCTGCCTTGCATCACACACTGCACAGACTTACTAGGGGTTTCCAAGTACTATCCTAGAGCATTAGTTTTAAGTTTATTTATTTATTTCATGACAATGAGAGAGAAAAGGTTGCAAGAGAGAGAAATACTAGCACTCTCAATAGAATCCCACACCTAAACATGCCCCTCCAGCCTTCCTAGCCAGCCATGATCATGAACACTGTGCCCTGCATGTACAAGTCAACCTGGGAACCGAACCTACCACCTTCCACATGGATCCAGCCTCTTCTGAGCTGCTTATTATTGCCTCAATTTATAGCTGGTCCATCCCAGAGCATTTAAAGTACCATGAACAACCCCCAACCATTGGCACACTGGCCCATATAATTGATGGTCATAGCTGAAGTCAATTCAAAGATCTCGGATGGGTGTCATCCAGGTGCAGTGATTGACCACAGCCTGACTTTTTCCTTTGTAGCTCCCAACTGTTTGCTTCCAATGTTAATTTGGTAAGGGGATTCAGCCTTGACATCATTCCCTAACAATTTCCTTTCAAATAGTAATCATTAAAAAAAAAAAAAAAAAAAAAAAAAAAAAACACACAAGGCTCTAGAAGTTGTTTGAAAAGGGATGAATATGGAAGATTTCTTACCGAGTGAAACAAGTCGGGCTGTTCAAGGAATACGTTGTGTGTCTCCGATTAACATCTACCGACTGCCCGCACTCTGACGCAGAGACTGAAAGTCTGGAGGACATAAAAGCAGTAAAAATTGTAAT